AATCCACTCCATCCCAGAACCTCACCATGTCTCACAGCTATTCAACCCAATCAGCCAAGTCATAAGGAAGGTGATCTGAGGTTGTGTGGGGAGTCAGTGGCTGGGCTTGGAACAGAAGAACAGGGATGAGAATGTGCATCCAGACCAGGGCTTCTGCGAGTTCCCCACCCTGCTCCAGGCTCCCCTGCACATGGCTCTTGTCCTCCTCATCACTTTTCAGACACTTGCTCAGTTGTGTTGATGGTGACTCACTTAAGACCCTGAACTCTCTTATGCTTCCATGCAGAAGCAGCAGCAACCTTTTGAGAAAAGCGGCTATTTGCCCAAGTATGGCATAAAACCAGATTATTTCATATTGTCACTACTGCTCTGACACATTTCCTCCTCTTTATAATCCTTTTGAGTAAGGAAAACATTGTTGGGACAGAAATGACCGAAAGATCAGTAAAGAAAGGCTGAAGATTTTTAGGCAGATGGCTGTATTTTCAGCTGGTCTGAGCTGGCTTCGAAATCAGCTCAGCTGGATTTATTCACAGCAGCTGAAAAAATGGAGTTGTGAAGAAAGATGAAGAGTCAGGGACAGAACTCCCCACCATAAACTATTCAGACTTTCACCCAGGAAAGTTTAAAGGGATCTTATCTACTACTTCCCTTCTCCCTGGTGCTGCTCAACCAAATGTCTTCTCACATCTGTTCTTTAAAGTACCTGGAAAACCCAGGGCACACGCTTAGGTTCTTTTCTTGGGGGAAGCGCAGACCAGAAGGCAGATGTGCTTGTTTGCTTCCTGACTCAGTCCTTTCAGCTAGCTATGGTGGATGTGAATGTGAGAATTCCCTAAACCACAGTCATTGACAGTCTAAGGCAGCAAGACAACTAATCTAAGGTGCACCCTGGGTTTTGATTGAAAGGGATAAGAAAAATCAACTCCTTGGCACCACTCTCCTTTTAAACCCTTTGAATCTCTGCCAGTTTTAAGCTTGCACTTTCCTCTGAAGAGGACGGATCCACCCATAGCAAGCGCAACAGGATGCGAAGCCACTGAATTTTTTCACTTAACATGGTCAAACAAGCCCAACTTCCTTATTTTTATCATCAGAGCACAGACATTTGGAGGACAGATAAACAAACCAATGTGGAACCCTCCCTGTTATCCAGCAGTAGCCAGACCCCAGACTAACACGCTCCCAGCCCAACAGAGGAGAGCAGTGTTGGTGCTCCTCCCTTCTCCTGGTACAGATCTAAATCTCTGTATGGATCAGAGATCTCCCTCCCTGCTGCCTCACACACAGACAGTATTTAGCAGCATGTCACACACTGTACCTGCACTGTAGTTTACGACTTCCAGCGCTGGCTCTGGAAAGAAACAAAAAGAGGGTGAGAAAGTGTTGGGCATCCAGAACACGGCACATTTGGCAAGGACCAGATCCATAGGCAGCATGGTTTTCCAAGGTGTACAGGTTTTCTTTTCTCCTGTCCATGTTTTCCCTCTCTGCATCACACCAAGAGTGTTTTTGTATTACCTGCCTCAAAAGCAGACCCACTCCCACCGCAGAACCCTTTGTGGCCTTCGAAATAAAAGTTCAGTCAAAGTCTTTGAGCGTGTGGTGGGATGACCCTGGCTGGCAGGTCAATGCAAACCCCAGAAACCAATTTGTTCTTAATTCCAGCCAGAGGTATTACCACATTCAAAAGGAACATCTTAAGTTAATAATCTTAAATTAATAGCAATTAAGTAATTATCTGCTCAATTAACTGGCTCTTTATGGTACGTAAAGGAGTTGTAAGTGTTATGCAATGAGTCAGAATTTAGCAGCAGTAGTAGAAAGTGTTGTTAGATGTTTTACAGTAACCATCAGTGACTGCTCCCTACCTGGTCTAGGCAAGACGGTGAAGAGTATCTCCATACCAGCATGAATATGATCAGACACATGACAGTGAAGCAGCCACGTCCCAGGGTTCCCAACCAACATCTCCACCATTTCAAAGGTCCCAGGGAACAGATCCACAACATCTGCTCTGTAGCTTTTGCCATTCTGTCAGAGGGGAGGGAGGCTGTTAGCATGCAGTGCTCTGTGCATCTTTTCAGAAAAAAATTCCATCAGTGTCACTGGAGACCAGTTCAGTACTACTACAGTTTTTAAAAGCTCAAAAAAAAAAAAAAAAAAAAAAATTTCAAAGACCAGCTGCTGGCTGCAGCTGGGAAAGCAAACACAATCGGGTAATGCCCCATCCTAAAAAGGATTAAGCTAGATATATCAGCACCATACAGAGGCTCAGTGAGTCAGATTTTGATGTGCAAAATCACATCTCTTTCCTAGCTGGGTGAAGTTGTTGTGAAGTCATTTAAGAAAGTCTGTCAGAGCCAACAGAAGTTAGGACAACGGTGGCCAGTCTCTGCTTTGTCATCAGCAAGTTATTCTTACCTTGTATATGAAGGTCTCGGCATGAAAATGGACTGTGTGCACATCAATCTCCTGACCCATTCCCAGCAGGTACCAGTTCACCCGCTCACCCTGGAGCATGGTCAGCCCAGGCAAGTTCGCATAGAGCCTTCCATTGATTGCTGTGCAGTGAATCACATGCAGAGAGAGAAGAAAAGGCTGTTATTGAAATGGAAAAGACACTGAACCATTGCAGAGGAAGAACATGCAGGGCAAGCTGGATGCTACAAAGCTCATACAGCAACCAGTGCGTCAGCAGTTAGTGTCTTCCATATGACAGTCCCCCGAAAGTTTGGCAGTTTCTCTCCAGCTCAACTACATATCCCCTCTGTTAACAGACAGGAAAAGTGGCTTGCATCCAAGGCCATGCTGTAGCTCAGCTCAAGTAAATCTCAAAAATTACCTCTTGCTGAAAAACTGCAGCCAGCCAGCAGAGGTGGTTGCTTCTAGAAGTCAAGATGTGTAAAAACGTCCGTCTTAGCCCAACAGGAGGGAAATATGTTTATATTGAATCTGTGATTTATACACATAAATCTCTGAACAATTTACTTGCTGAACAATGGAAATGGGTAAATCCTGCCAACAGGCCACCCTGTCTTTCTGTGTCTCATGCTGGCTCCACACATAACACACCAATCACTTGTAAAATCACTATATGGCAGGACTTTATTTCAAAACTAGCACAGCCAGAAGGAACACTGCTTTGACTGCAAGTGTAGGAAAGGGGACTGAAACAGTGAGTGGGCTGCATGTGATGGCATGTCCATGGAAACTTTATGGCCAGATGACAACAGAGGGAGTAAGATGGAAAGAGACATGATCTGAGGGCAGGAACACCAGTGTTTTACCCTTAGATCTGCCACAGACACTTTGTGTAGCCCAAAGTAAGCATCCAACTTCAGTGTGTTGGTTTTGCTAGCTTTTATATTGGGTTAACAATTATACCTCCATGGACATGTATATCTGGAGATTCTTTATATCACCTGTACAAAACCAGTAATAATGATAGTACATATAACACAACTCTTCACTACTCTGTCTCTACGGCTGACAAGGAAATTGTTTTGCTGAGAATACTTTAGATAGGTCCAGATAGAATATGGAGAAAAACCATCATAAATAACATGTTAATTTAGAAAAACATGTTCGTCCTGCTATGGTAGAAATAGCTTTTTGGTAATCAGCTAAAACAACCGAGCCATGTATAGCAGCCACATAGCTCAGTCAATTAATTTGAAATCTCACATATTCTAATGGTCCTGAAACAAACAGAATGAAATTAATCTGACAAGTTAATTTCACATTTGATTTTATTTCCTGTGCCGAGTCACTCAGACACATAAGAGATTAACCTCTCTGGCCTGTATCTCGCTATTCCTCCTGACAGGGACAGCCATAATGATTAGCCTTCATTGCAGATCAAAGATTTGCACCATACTTGTGCTGCAACACTGAGAACAACAGACAGACACTTTCATTCTGTTCATGCCACTGACAATGGAAAAGGATGAGGGCATTCACTAGAAGTCAGGCTCTTGGGTTTTGGGTCGCTGACTACTTGTAGAAGTCGCAGAGCCATCATCAACTTTGCATAGATAGTAATGGGTGCTCTGGCACCTAACAGGCATTACCATGCATTTTGTTGCTTTCCACAAATTTGTCATCCAGCAGGTTGATCTCCTTGTGATTTCCCTTACTGTAACGTTCCACATTCTCCTCCAAGTACCAGGACTGATTTTCATCAAAAACCAGGAACAGTAGAGCAAACTCCCTCTTTACATCCTTCCTGATCCCATCAGGCTGCAGTGTCCCTCTCCGGCAGATCTTCAGGGGGCCAATCAGACCACTGTACATATCCTAATCAGAACAAAGGAGAAAAACCTCTGAGGCAAAGATCTTCTCACCCACTCTTCTGTATGCAGTTCTTTGCCTTTCAGCAACCACATTTTCTCTTCCTTGCATCACTCCACTTAAAACAAACGGTGCTACTGCATAAGTACTCTCACTGGGGAACATCAGCTACCAAATAACAAGAACAGAGATTATACATGCTCTTATGAATGCAAATCCACAAGCCATGAATATGATGAGTAGTATCAAAATATTCTCCACTCTGTGATTGCAAAAGCATCTGCAACTTGAGATAAAAAGGCAATGATCTCTGGGTTAAATATGATGGCTTATTGCAGGATCCTCCAGGTTCTTTCCCTGTGAAATCAGTGCTAGGACAATTGATCCGAGCAATGCTCAAATCTTCCTGCTTTAACCATGGGGCCTAATTTTGGACAATTTCTGCCTTTCTAGATCAGCCCTGTGGCTCTCACCAATAAAAACCATGACTGACTGGGAGATGTTCTCATATCCTGCAAATAACTGAAGGAAGATTAGTGTCAGCAAGAGAGTGGAATTGCTTTATAAAGGTTTGTGTTAGACAAAAATAAGAACAAATATCAGGACAAATTTGGAGGTTTTCCTCTCCCAGGAGAACGCTGGACATGTCACCAGGTGGTTCTTTACCTCTCAGTTGGGCCAATCTCTAAATTGTACCTACCTCACATTGTTTTCTAGAAGAGGTGAAAAATTGGTCTAACTGAGCTTTTCTGGTTCTAACTTCTATTTTACCTTTACTGGGTCCACCATGGAGTAGTAGATCCAAGGAACACAGGCTGAATCATTTGGCCCTGGACCAGATCTCTCAGGAACTTCCCATCGGTAAGTCACAATGTCACCTGAGAGAGAGAAGCACCATCAACACCAGTCTGATACACTCACTCACCAGTTTGCTGAGGAGCATGCAAAGCAAAACAAAAACCAGAAGATCCAGTCTCCAAAGTGCAAATTCAGTTCCGATTTTGTCAGTCATTGCATCTTCCTTCCCCAAACACTGAAAAGCAGGAGGGAAGGTCCCCGCTCACACACAAAGCTGAGGGGTCACAGGATGCACACACCACCTGCTGTCAGCACAACTCTGCTTTACCTGCTGCCTGCAAGACTGGACCTGACCAAGGGAATTCCACCTCTCTTCAGTACAGATGGAGCTCGAGATGATTTTTCCTCCCTTTGAAGTACATTTGTGATGCTCATTCAAAGCTGTTTTTAAAATTACTATTTTGCATATTAGCAACACATTTTAGAAAGACAGGGCCCAAGTGAAAACCTGTTTGTTGCTTAGACAGCCTGTGCAAATTGAAGGGGACTAAAAATTATACAAAGTGGCACCTGGACCATGAAACAAATTGGTGATTTCATTCAGCATCCTGGCAAGCAATTGTGCATTTCTTTTATTTCATACAATTTTCATACTATTGTGCACATCACAAAAAGTATAGGTCCCAAAGCAGAGGGGCAGGCTTCCCCCACCATGGGCGGTCAGCCCAGGGCTACTGAGGACTGACTGTGCTGTGAACTGCTATCACCTTCCTCCTTCCTACAGACAGACCACACTCGGTGCAGGGGACAAGGCTGCACACAGAAAAGTTTGTGCGACATTTATCCTGGAAGTCAGAACAGAATATGAACTCCCAGGGCTGCATTCCCACACAAATGATATCACTAAAGCCACAGTGAACCTGAAAGACCAGTTATTGTTCAGTTCTAGTTCTCCACCATAAGAAAACAAGGACATCTAAGCCTACTTAAGGAAACCAGTCTAGCTACAGACTAAAATGAGCTTTGTAAGCCCATACAGAAATACAGCTGGAGACCACAGTGACTTACCAGGGTTGGCTACCTGCGGATGTCCTGTCTCCCTTTCCAGCACCCCATGTGCATGGATGGAGTAGGGTCTCGTGGCATTGTTCTTAAACACGATGTTGAGAATATCTCCCACTTCTGCCCACAGAAAAGGACCTTGAGGTGGAAAGAACGTACTCTGAGAATAGCAAAAACTGTCAACATATCTCCTGAGGATATTCCCACCTCTCTTTCACTATCTTCTCCCCAGACATATTCCCTTATAATATTTATGACGTTCCCCTCCCTCTTCTCTACCTTATCTCTACCTCCCAAAAAGAGAGCTGGAAGACAGTGCCAATTCAAGTAAGTCTTAGAAAACCAGACTGAGTTTCACAATGAGGGAAATGAAGGCTGTTACACATTTTAACTGTGCCCAGTACAACTAAGGCTTGATTGCTGAATATCACTATGCTAAATTTCACAGCATCTTGATCATGTCTTGCTGTGGTTTCAAAAAACGCGGTAATATTCAATTTGGTCTGACAGTGTCACAAATCAGAGCTGCAGCCTATTTTGAACAGCATACAGTGCCTCAGCCTTGCTGCTCCGGCACCACTTACAGTTCTGGGTTCCTAACACAGAGCTGTGTCTCCACGGACTTCCATTGACATGGTAACATGCTCCTCCTCTTCCCAAGGCCTGCCTGCTTTTGCCCCAAAAGCATTTCTCTCACAGCTACAGATCTTCACCTGCGACTCTCAGACCACTCTCTAGAAGTCACTAGTTATTTCTGTTCTACAGCCACAGAAATGCAGCTGTGAGAAATGCATTGCCTGAGACCTAAAAGAAAGTTGGCACAAAGGCAGGCAGAGAACCCAGTCTTCTCTGCTACACAGTCTTCCTGCGTTCAGGACCCTCTGTACTGCTGTCTCCAAAGCTGGCAGACTCGGACAGGAGACAGTCTGAATTTCTTCTCACTTACACACACAGAAGATGCCTAAATATTTAGGAGACCTTCACATTACAGCCCTTAGCCACTGAAGCTCTAGAGTCCAAGCCCCATTGCTGTGTGAGCAGAAGATGTACCCTCTGCACGTAACCTTACCTAGTATACCTAGGTGTTCATCACCATTTGTCCTGGCCTTGGGGGTCTGGAAAGTCCCGTCAGTGTACTCCCTGTAGACTGCTTTCTTGTACCTGGAGCCGAGCAGCCCATTCTCGTTGCTCAGAAATACATCGGCATAGCTGAGAAATGCAGGATGAGTGCTGAGATACCCAGAAGCTCACAGGGAATACACAGCCAACTTGTGGCAGGGGATTCACTAGCTGAATGGGTTTCCCAGGGACCAACTTTGGCCACAAAGGTGGGCGCAGGGACACGGTGGGGCTGCAGCTCCCACCACCAGCACCACCAGCAGTGGCACACGCACCACATCACAAGATGGCCAAGATACCCAATAGCCTTGGTCTACCAGGAAAGTTTGCCAAAGGCTTCCCCAGAAGGGTAGCTCTACCTCTCCGCAGAATGGTTGTGCCGTTCCCTCTCCCAGCGTCGGTCAGGCGCGTAGTCCCACACCACCTCCTCTGCCACGATGTAATACGTCCGCACCCCTTTGTACGGAAGGGCAGGAGCAGGATCCCTATTTCCACACTTGGAAACGAAGTAGTGTTCCCTCATCCCAGCTTGGTAGTGATTGCTCGTCTGGCAGTATATCTCGAAAATCCCTGAGGGAGGCAGCACCAACAAGGAAATCAGCTGCTTTTAAAAGATCCCAGGAAACAGCTGCTTCCCATGCAGAGCTTGTGATGTGGCTGGAATGGGTATGTGGTGGTGTGTTGTTTGGGGAGCTTGATTGCCACAGACCAGGATTAGAAGGGGTTGTTAGAGAAA